CAGTGCCACACCCCGGTGTCCCCGCAGTGCCACCCCCCGGTGTCCCCGCAGTGCCACACCCCAATGTCCCCGCAGTGCCACACCCCGGTGCCCCTGCAGTGCCACACCCCGGTGCCCCTGCAGTGCCACCCCCCGGTGTCCCCGCGGTGCCACCGCAGTGCCACTCACCCCTTGGCACACTGCAGGGTGGGCCGGTCCTGCAGGAACCAGGGCAGGAAGTGCTGGAACTCCTGGACCGTGGGGCGCCGCACCTGACCCAGGCACCTCTCGCACGAGCAGTTCGGGTCACCTGCGGGCACGCCGAGGGGTCAGCGCGGCCACCGGCCACCGGCCAGCGCGGCCACCGGCCACCGGCCACCACGGCCACCGCCGGGCGCCACACCGGGCACCCAAAGGGCGCCCAGTGGCCATCACAGCAGGCAGCCAGTGGTCATCACTGCCCAATGACCGCCATGGCGGGCACACAACTGAAACCCAACAGGCCACCATGGTGGGTACTCAGTGGTCATCACAGTGGGCACCCAATGGGTACCCAAAGGCCACCATGGCGGGCATCCAATGGTCATCACAGTGGGCACCCAATGACCAGCATGGTGGTCACTCAACAGGCACCCAATGGCCACCCAACAGGTCCCATGGTGGACATTCAGTGGACACCAAATGGCCATCATGGTGGTCCCCAACAGACACCCAGTGGCCACCACAATGGTCCCCAACAGGTACCCAATGGCCACCTCGGTGGGCACCCAACAGCCACCCAAGGGCCACCACGGTGACCACCCAATGTGCACCCCAATGGCCACCATGGTGGGCACACCAATGGCCACCACAGTGGGCACCCAACAGACACCCAATGGCCACCACGGTGACCACCCAATGGTTCCCATCAGGGGTCACCCATGAGGCACCCAATGGCCACCCAAAGGCCACCATGGTGACCATCCAATGTGCACCCCAATGGCCGCAACAGTGGCCACCCAACACACCCAATGGCCACCACAGTGGGCACCCAATAGCCACCCAAGGACCACCATGGTGGGCACCCAATGGCCCCCAGCAACGCTCACCCAAGAGGCACCCAATGGCCACCCAACGGCTACCACGGTGGGCACCCAACAGACACCCAAGGACCACCACGGTGGGCACCCAATGGTCCCCATCAATGGTCACTGAATGGATCGCAAGGACCACCACGGTGGGCACCCAATGGTCCCCATCAATGGTCACTGAACGGATCGCAAGGACCACCACGGTGGGCACCAGTGGCCACCCAAGGACCACCACGGTGGGCCCCCAGTGGCCACCCAAGGACCACCACGGTGGGCCCCCAGTGGCCACCCAAGGACCACCACGGTGGGCCCCCAGTGGCCACCCAAGGACCACCACGGTGGGCCCCCAGTGGCCACCCAAGGACCACCACGGTGGGCCCCCAGTGGCCACCCAAGGACCACCACGGTGGGCCCCCAGTGGCCACCCAAGGACCACCACGGTGGGCCCCCAGTGGCCACCCAAGGACCACCACGGTGGGCCCCCAGTGGCCACCCAAGGACCACCACGGTGGGCCCCCAGTGGCCACCCAAGGACCACCACGGTGGGCCCCCAGTGGCCACCCAAGGACCACCACGGTGGGCACGCAATGGCCACCCAAGGACCACCACGATGGACACCCAGTGGCCACCCAAGGACCACCACGGTGGGCACCCAGTGGCCACCCAAGGACCACCACGGTGGGCAACCAGTGGCCACCCAAGGACCACCACGGTGGGCACCCAGTGGCCACCCAAGGACCACCATGGTGGGCACGCAATGGCCACCCAAGGACCACCACGGTGGGCACCCAGTGGCCA